CACCTTGGCCAGCAGCGCTCACCTGACCGAAGTAAGACACAACAGGCGAAGGCAACCCCGAAGACCAAGAGCCTAACCAGGATGAGCATCCCTGAACGCAGCCCACTCCCGCACAGTGTCAGCGAGATATCTCTGGACGCTCCTGACCGTCCGAACACTCAAATGTCTAGGCAAGTGACAGGGCACAAGGCCGCAAATGGCAAGACATGTAGGAAGCTGCTCAAAGGAGACCTCACGTTGGGCCTGTCTATGAGCGTTAACCTCGCACTCCCACAAGAAGTGACGGGTTGACTCTTCCGCTGCACAGCACCTGCGGCAAGTCCGATCAGTAACCTTGCCTGCATGAAACCGCCTGTTGCGAGACCATAGGCGTTCATAAAACAGTCAGGCTTGAGTGGGATTGTAGAACGTCCTGGAAGATTCTTGCTAATTTCGCATAGGCCCTTACTTCAATAGAACATCAAATCTGAAATCTCAAATAGGTTTGTGTTTAGATATTTGTAGTTTTAATTCTTTCAGTAGTAGTTGGGTCCACAGATATTCCCCAGTAGACTTATTCAAATTAGGGTACAGTGTTGGGGATGTTGCTGGCTCCACATGAACCCAGTAGAATCTGGAATCCTAGGTTCCTGGCTTTGAATGTGGTTCCAGCCCATATAGGTCCCTTATTAAGTTCTATGAATCCCTTCCCCCTAATATAACAGAACCAGAAATCTGGACGAGCATTTTTCCAAAGGGCAAGACTACTTGAAAAGGAGTCACCTGATAATGGATTGGGGGGTTCTGGAATCATCGATGAACTATTCAATTGATTAATACTTAAATCAAGGCAGTTGATTAAACGTCATCTAGTAGTTCATGTGATTAACTAGCTGATGTAGTTAATTTGTTCCTGATTTCCCCATGGAGTTTACAAGGGTTTTAAAGGCAGCCCTATCCAATTCTTTCAATGCATAATCCCCGTACCCTTTTTTAATTCGATTACAACGGATAGCCAAACCATCGAATCCTGAATTCATAGTTTTCGATCTGCCTCCAAGCTATATAACTCCCCTATCAACATCAAGTATAATGGATAGCGAAATCCTTGAATCCTGGTTTCCCGGTTTCGAGCTGGGCTTTTTGGGCCATATACATCCCTTTGTCAAATTCAACTAGACTGGATAACAACATCCTGGAATCCTTGATGCCTAGAACGGATACACTAAACTTAAACCCTAAAGCCATCCAAAGCCTAAACCCTAAACCCTAGTTCCTAGGATCCTGGATTCCTGGTTTTTGAGCTAGCTCGGTCCATGTAAATCCTGTTCTGCGTGCGCCAACCGGGAGAATGCAAAAATCCACAGGCTTAGGGTTTAGGGTTTAGGGTCCGAAAGAATGGACACGATTCCTCAAAAGTTTGAGATTTTTGGATTTTCTAGCTTATTTATGTTCTGTATGTGGAAACATGCACCCTGTGTTTTTTTAAAAAGATTTTCATGTTTTCCTCGTTCAGAAACCGATTATGTTCTAGGTCGTTTTGGATCTTCATTGAAATTCAAAACAGAGAAAACTCTAGTTTTTCCAGCCACGGAAATGAATCAGCATAGGTTTTTTTGGTGCTTTCATTTAAAAATCTAGAAAATAATAGGTTTCTGAGCCAGGGAAACCTGAAACTTCGAAAAAGCCAATGGACATTTCCTAGTTTCCACACAGGAACCAAAGTAAGCGCCCTAAACCCTAAACCTAGCAAAATCCAAAGCTTTCGAGGAATCCTGCCAATTCTTTTAGATTTTGTAGGTCTTCGGTTTGGGCTGTGTAAATCCCGCAATAGAGTACAGAAAGATTAACACATAAATCCTGGAATCCTGGATTCCTGGGTTTATTGAGCAGGCCCCGGTCCATATAGATCCATAAGATGTATTCATGCCGCTAAGCCCTAAACCCTTCAGGAGTCAGGGCTTTCGAGCTGGTACTAGCGAAAGTAGATGTTACTCGAAGTCTGAAACAAGTTTTTAATGATGAGATCAGACAAAAGGCGAATTATTCCTCATTGGCACCTACACTGTTTGGTGTTGTTTCTATATATTATAGAAGAAGGGTCGAGGTAGATCATGGGGGTTGACCATCTGCATATGTATATATATATAT